CCCCTCCTATACACACATGCACACTGTTCTCACCCCTCCTATACATACATGCACAGTGCTCTCACCCCTCCTATACACACATGCACAGTGCTCTCACCCCTCCTATACACACACACGCATACTGTTCTCACCTCTCCTATACACACACATGCACACTGTTCTCACCCCTCCTATACACACACATGCACAGTGCTCTCACCACATAGCCAAGACTGATTTTGAACTCTAGGTCCTCCTCCTTCTGCTTCCCGAGTGGTGAGATTCCAGGTGTGTGGCACTGTGCCCAGCCTGAGAGAGCTAGCTTCTCTCTCTGTGCACCCTGCAGTCTCATATGCTCTCTAACAGCACAGTGATTCGTTTTCTCTCTCTGAACTGCCAGAAGCCCCAACTGCCTGAGTGTTCCTTCCCGTCTCTGGATTCTCTAGTACATCCTCTGGCACGCCATCGCCGCTGGTTAAACTGTGAGGCACTGGAGCTGAGTAGATGCTCACTCGGCTGGCACGTGTTGCTCTTGCAGAGGACCTAGGTTTGGTTCCTAGCACCAACATGGCAGTTTATAGCCATCCATAACTCCAGTTCCAGGGGATCTAGTGTCCTTTCTTACCTCCTCTGAGACTAGGCATTCCTATGTTACGCATTCTTACATGTAGACAAAACAATCATGCACATGAAATAGAAGTAACTCTGAAATTAGAATCAGATCAAGTGTGGTAGTAGATAAAATAATCCTAAATTAAGGTGTGTTAACGTACTGGGACAAGTAGGCCTGAGAGCATAGCAGCTGGGAGTCCCAGACTCCAGAGGAGCCAGGAGGCCCATGGCTTCCAAGCAGTTGGAGAGAAAGGACAGCAGCCTGGCCCAGAGGACATGCTCAGAGTTCTGCACCTCACTGCAAGTAAGGGCGAGCATGTGACTAGGACCCAGTTAGCTGCTTCCCCCTAATGTGTGTCAAAAGCCTGCAGCAATGTGTGACTGTGCACAGAGACAGCTCAGTGAGTAAAGGAGCTTGCTGGGAAAGCCTGCTGCCTGAGTGCAGTCTCCTGAACCCATACCATGTTGACCAGAGGAAACTGACTCCACACACGATGTGGTGTACACACTTCCATCATGTACACACATTTGTTAATCTTCTAAATGTGTGGTTGCTAGCTAGGCAAGAGGATCAGAAGTTCAAGACCAACCTCAGCTATAAGACCTTGTCTTTGAAAACAAAATGTGCATTTGCCAGAAAAGATGCCTGCCGAGTGTGCCCTAGTGTAGTGTGTTCATGAGGATCATTTAACCGTGTCCTATTTTGCAACAGGTGAGAAACTGGTGCCTGGGGCCAGAGAGGTCCTGACAGAAATATTTAAAAGCTGTGCCCACTCAGAGCAGACACTGAGCCTGACACCAGCCAAACCCATCAGGGTCTCTGACATCTATCTTAGCAAAGAGCAGATCAACTCCCAGACCCCGGGCAACCTCCTACACCTCTTCTTCACCAATGTCCGGCCTCCAAAGAAGGTTCTGGAGGACCAGCTCACACAGGTACCACGCTGTCCACATGCTCTGTGCTGAGCCACAGGTTCCTTGTCTGGCCTGGCCTGGCCTGAGAAGCTTGCTCCTCACTTCTGTGCTTCACAGATCCTGAGGAAGTATGGCGTGCCCAAGCCCAAACTGGATAAGAGCAAGTACAGCAAAGCTGGGAAGGAGCAGCACCCGGTGAAGGTGGTGAGCACCAAGCGGCCAGTCACCAAGCCGCCTGCCAAGGACAAAGCTGTGCTTAGCAGCCTCAGGTGCGCCTTCAAGGAGCTTGGGAAGAGGATGGCTGGGGGGCTTCTGGCAGCTGCTCAAGAGACTCAGGCTGTCTTCTGCTCCTGCTCCTGAGTCCCTGCAGTCCCTTCAGTCCTCAGCTCTGTCCACTGAAGTCAACCTTTCACCCTGCCTGAGTGTAGTAAGAACCAGGCAAGCACGAGTGCTGAGAACACATGGAAAGTGCATCCGTTCAACCCAGTCCACGTTATCTATGCACATAAGCAGGCATTTTAGAAAGCTTTCCTAATGCAAGTGGGGAAGAACTGATTTGGGCTGGGGACACAGCTCAGCAGCAGAGTGTACATTCAGAATGTGCGGGACTCCAGGTCCTTCTCTTTATGTGCATGTATCACTTTCTTAATTGGCACAAAATTCAGAAGAGGCTGTGGCAGAAAGATCACAAGCTGAAGGCCTGCCTGGCCAGAGTGAATTCCTAAGCTGTCTCAAAGCAGAGAGTCAAAAGAGCACTGGAAATAGTCAGACGTGACAGCACACACTTTTAAATAGCGCTCAGAAGACTGAGGCAATTGGATCTCTATGAGTTTGAGGCCAGCTTGTTCTACATAGCAACCCCCAGGCTAGCCAAGACTACATAGTGAAGCCCTGTCTCAGGTGAATGCATGGGTGAATGAATGAATGAATGAATGAGTAAATGAATAAATAGGGCTGGAGATACAGCTCAGTGAATGAACATTTGCCAAATATGCTTGAGGCTCTGGGTTCATTTGCCAGCACCAGATACATAGATAGATAGATAGATAGATAGATAGATAGATAGATAGATAGATAGATAGATAGATAGATACATAGATAGATAGATAGATAGATAGATAGATAGATAGATAGATAGATAGATAGATAATAGATAGATGGACCTGGAGTTAGATAATAAGTTAATTGGTTGCACTTTCCCTCTTTCCTGACTTCAAAGCCCCCTCCCCTAAATATCCCATATTTGAATTTTCATGTATGTTTCGTATAATTTTCTTAAGGTGGGGTCTCAAGGCTGACAAGGTCAGGAGTGCATTCCTTGTGAGGGTACACAGAATCAAGAGTTCAAAGTTACTACTCAGTGTGTTCCAACCTAGTCTGTGTGAAGACCTGTTTCAAACACACAAAGACAGGCTCTTACTCTGAAACCCCAGCTAGACTCAGACTAGTGACTGTCCTGCATCAGCTCAGGAATCACAGGCATTGGCTGTCATGCTTTAGTTTATGATGAACACCCTCACTGGTCTGATAGCCCTGATAGCACTGTGTGTCTAGAGAAGTTGTATGAGTGACCAGAGCGATCCTACACCCTTTCCTTAACCAGCTATGTGCAGATGACCCTGTCCTGCACACAGTACTGTCCATCTCTGTCCTACTTGGCACTGCTGCTCCATGGTCTCTTGGGAGCATAGCTGAGAACCCGAGTTTGTGAGTTCACTCAGTTCTACTTAATCTAGGTAGCTAATCTTGTACTGGCTGCTTTATCAAATAGTGCCACTCTGATATGTAGGAAGTGACTGAAAAGACTCTCAGGAGTTCTCACATCTTAAAGTGTTGATTTGTCTTTAGAGTCTAATCAGAAGGCCTTACATGCAGCCGGGGAGACTCCCATGCCAGAGTTGGGGGTGTGTGAGGTTCTGTGTTTCCTGTTGGGAGGCAGTGTGTGCATGCCCATCCTAACTGCTGAGCTTCGGTCTGTAGCAGGACTGCATTAAGTGAGAAGAAGCCAACTGTGAAGCCCAAGTCACCTGAGAAGAGCAAACCAGATGAAAAGGATCCAGAAAAGTCACCCACCAAAAAGCAAGAAGGTACATTAGTGGCTGGAGAGCTGGCTTCCACTCTGGTGACAGCAGCCCATTCTAGGACAGGCTACCCACTGAGATGGCCCAACTCTTTATGGTCCCTGCTCCTCTGAGACTTAGTTGAGACAGGACAGTGATAGCCATCAGCTTAAAGGGAGGTAAAAATAAGGTGTCGAGTGGGTAGTTACAACTTGAAACATAAAGAATTGGAAATCTGGGGGGCTGGAGAGATGGCTCAGCGGTTAAGAGCACTGACTGCTCTTCCAGAGGTCCTGAGTTCAAATCCCAGCAACCACATGGTGGCTCACAACCATCCATAGTGAGATTGGATGCCCTCTTCTGGTGTGTCCGAAGACAGCTACAGTGTACTCATAATAAAATAAATAAATAAATCTTTAAAAAAAAAAAAAAAAAGAATTGGAAATCTGCTCCAGGCACTTCCCTGAACCCATGAACCAACAAGAGGCTCTGAGACAGCAGAGACAGGAAGCTGTGCATGCTGTAGAAATTGTTATGTCAACCTTGTGCTTCTGAGACTTGGAGAAACGGGGAGATGGGAAGTCATAGCCAAGTCTGGATAGCAGCCTGAGTATGTGGAGGCTGTGTCACACTTTGGCTAAACTGGGGGGAGCAAGATAATACCAGGGAGCACAGGAAAGGGAGCTAGGTAGAGCTGACCATGGACAGGACACTGGAAGGACCGCAGTGTGCAGGCTTCCCATCCTTGACTATGCATGCTTTCCTTTCCACCCTGACTGCACACAACGCTATGCCATCAGTTCCTGAGGAAAAGTACCTAACTCTGGAAGGATTTCACAAATTCGTCGTTGATCGAGCCAAGCAAGACATCCGCAGTGTCTGGAGGGCAATCCTATCCTGTGGTTATGATCTTCATTTTGAGAGGTGAGACACTGTCCTGTAAGTTGAGACCTAGTTTTGGCTGGTAGATGTCTCAGCTCTGGTCCTGCTGGGGGATTACAGGTGTACACCACCAACAACCAGCTCTTTTTCCTTAAAAGCACATCGGGCCTGTTGTCTTCAGGCCCATTTGCATGATTTCCTTTAGCTTTAATTACTTCTGCAATTATCATAATTACTTCTCCAAATGCTATCAGCCTGCATTTGCAGCACACAGTTTGGTCCATGACCAGGACACTGCTTATTCTAAAGTCTTCTTCAGACTTCCTCTGCTCTCCGCTGCCCTCCATCCTAAGGACCCAGCAAGGCAGGGCTCACTAGCTTTCCAGGGCCCACTCTGGTCCACCAGAGAATCCCAGGCAAGCAAGGAGTGTGCAGAAATAGGCCAGCACTCTCCATCACACACAGGTTCCTCAGCCTCGTCTGTAGTTGGACATGCTGAGTCACAAAGGAGGGGCTATCCAATACAGACTTTCTGAGAAGTCGTATTTTCAGAGAATTATTTGGTAGAAGAGATCCCATGATCACAGGGTGCTTTTCCCAGGGTGAGGATTATTCATTGCATTTGGAACATGCTGACCCCTGTAATTAGCCAAATGTGGGGAACCCCACCCCATCATTTGTGGTCCTGGGGGAATGTGCTTGCCCTCTACCCTGACTTGAGATTCTGCTTACTTATTGTAGACATTAGTTAGGTTAGAGGGACTTCCTGGACCAAGAGCTGTAGTCTTCAGTGGGAGGGGACCTACAGGGCCATCAGTGGAATCTGTAGAGAGTGTTCCTGTGTGTGGCTGAGAGAAGAGTCCTCCCTTCTCACCACACACTTGTCTAAGGGCAGCCACAGCTGACGCTAGGTCAGCCCACCAAGTGGGGCTGTGCAGGAACTCACCAGTGAGAAGGGACTCATGTGTCTGAGACCCTAATGTGAGGCCAAGCTAGTGTGAAGAGAGCAGTGCTGCACCCTCCTGTCCCCTCCCTAGATGCTGTGGCCATCTGAACACATGACCTCTGGCCACTGGGCAGCCCAGCCTTTCCCACCTCAAAGCTCTGGGTTTGTGGGAGAGGAATGTGCACACCGACCACATAGCTGTCCTGTTGATTACAGCGGTAAACAGGAGACCTGTGGCTGTGCTCAGGAACCGTCTCTCCCCATGTGCTTTAGAGGTTGGCGTCTTCAGCCCTGTTGAAGACATTGCCAGCAGTCTGAGTTTTTCATGTTTTCACACCCTTCATGTTACAGGGGTCCATTGAGGTCATTTTCTTGGTTGCCCAGATTCCATTGCAAGGTATAGCACAGTTTAGGAGCTGTCTCCAGGAGTGGGCATGTAGGTTGTGCCCAGTGTGACTGCAACAATACAGCCTTCCAGTAAAGCACTTGTGAGCACACCTTGGTCTGTCTATCCTAACAGCTGTGCAAGTAAATGATAGAACAGGTTTGCCAAGCTGAGGGGAACCATGTTGGTACCTGCAGCAGCTGACCAGTACATGGGTGAGCTGGCCACCATGGCATGTGTTGCACAGGCAACGTCTCATTGAATTCTTGTGACGTGAAGCACCAATACCGTTCCGAGGTCATGTTATGGAAAAGCAAACCTAAGCTCAGAATGGGTGTGCTCTTGCCTCAGGTGACTGAGTGGTCTCCATGTCACCCGAGAACCCCATTCCTCCACCTGATAAGAGGAAAACACGGTGCATGTGGGTTTCCAGACTTCCCAGAAGGCTCCTCTGTGCCCATACCCCTGATCACTCATACTTTGAAAGAGCTTTCCCGCTCCCCAACATCCCTGAAAGCCGCTCCCTGTCCTGCCCTAGGTGTGCCTGCGTTGATGTCCGACATGCACAGAAGGCCTCCCGGAAGTGGACGCTGGAGATGGATGTGGCTCTTGTGCAGTACATCAACCGGCTGTGTCGCCACCTCGCTATCACGCCGGCACGGCTCCATCCTCATGAAGTGTACCTTGACCCAGCTGACGCCACTGACCCCAGGATGGCTTGCCTCTCGAGTAGGTGGCCTCTAGGGGCACCCCCCACCGTGCCGTAGAAATACTCATAGCTACTCATGTGCATCACCTGAAGGGGTGGAGGGAGCTCTTACACTGGCCACAGTGGTCTCTGGCCTTTGTTTAATGATCATTAGCCTGGGGTAGCAGGCTCAGAGTAGACAGACACCTTCCCACATCCCCACTGGTCAGGCTGCTGTGAGGTAAGGGGCTCAGACCTCCCTGATCTGCACTAGAGGGATAGTCCCTCAGGGAGGTCAGTCCATTTGTCTTGGAAGCAAGGGGTGAACAGCAACAGAGCCCCAGTGAGTCCATCCCTCCACGTAGGCGTCATCCTGGTAGACCCATGGCAAGGCTACACACAGGCACCACGGGGCCACCTCACCTGGCAACAAGGGCAGGATCCTTGTTCTTCTGGATGTCAGGAGACAAAGATGGGCAAGTTGTTCATGACGGGAGTCTCTTACAAGGGAAAGGACACAGCTGCAAGGGCGGGGGGGGCGCGGGTCTGGGGACTAGCTAAAAGGCAGTGTATCAGTGGCACAGTTTCCTTGTCACTGCTGAAGGCAGCTGGGTGACAAATGTACCAGACTCTGCACTGCTTTTACCACTTCTTGTAATCTGTAATTATTTCAAAGTTTAAAACCATGTAGGGTCAAGAATGTAACCGAGTGAGTGTTCACCTGCTCTGGGTTCTGTTGCCACAGAATTTCATAAGACCATGTGCAGCCCTGGCATGGCCTAGGGAAGGCTAGGGCTGGGGCTTAGAAATCCAGGGCCTCACTCCTTACGTCTGTTCCTTGGGAGCCCCTCGCTCACAACATCTTCAGGCTCCCAGAGGTAGAGTCCTCTGAGGGAAGGCCCTGATCCCACTCCAGTTATCCTTCCTAGGAACAACACTCAGCCTGACCACCTTTCCCCTGCAGATGTGCCTATTGAGAGCTTGCGCCTGCGGTTTGCACTGCTTCAGTCTCTCAACACCACACTGGAGACCTTCTTCCTGCCCCTGGTAGAGCTGCGTCAGACACCCATGTACGCACACAGCATCGCTGCCCTGCTGAAGGAGGCCAAAGGTGAGTGCTGGCGAGCAGGAAGGCCCCGCCCCTCACAGCAGTCAGGCAGGCCTTCTGTCAAGCAGCGGGATCCCCAAGAGAAGCTAATCAAAAGTAGCCTGAGCTCTGAAAAAAAAAGTGTAAAAATTCAAAGCATTCATTAATAAAGTTGGTGTCATCTACCCAGGGTGCCCTTAGGGACCAGTTATTGCAAGGCTGTCTGTTGAGTCCTTGGTTTATACCTGGCATGCCATAAGGACAGGAAGGGCAGAGACAGATGGACTCAGGGAGTTCACAGTGTCAAAGGAGTAAGGCAGAGGGTGACAGGAGAACACTAGTGCCCTCCTCTGGTCATCTGCATGTAAATGCGCCCTCACACCAACAACAAGAGGAGCCCTGATAGAAAAAGACCCCTGATGTTGATTTCTGTCCTCCCCGTAAGCACACATGTGTTCCTGCACACACGTGTGACACACACACAAATAGACGACATTTTACATGCTGTGCTTGATCTCCCACTTGCAGTCTGACTAGACAACATTGCAAAGGGTTAGGGGATGAATATGCATGGCCCCCTCTCACCATCCCAGTTACAGGAGTGACTGGGAATCAGAAGAAGCAACTCCATGTTCCCCTCCCTGCCATGTGTCTTCTTCAGGGCTGATCTTCTATGACACAAAGGTGACTGTGATGAACCGGGTACTAAATGCAACTGTACAGAGGACAGCTGACCACGCGGCACCCGAGATCACCTTGGACCCACTGGAGATTGTGGGAGGTGAGGCTGGCTGCATCTTGGAAACTACAAATTGCAGTACTTAGACAGGTTGACCCTGAAACTCCCAGGGAAGGGCCCAGAGAGTGAGGCAGCCTTGCTCATCTGCTGCTGCTTCTCTGCACTAGGCCCCTGGTGTGGGCTTTCCAGCTCCAGGAGGGCCAAGCAGAGGTGCTTAGCTCTCCCTGCCCCCACTGCCTTTCCTCTCTGGCTATAGGAGGGGTACAGACGCCATTGTAGCTGGTAACAAGCCCTGCTTCTGTGGTTAAGGGCAGGGTTGTTGTGCAGGGCAGAAAAAGCCATGAGGAGTTCAAGGGAAGAGGCGGGTTCTGGAGAGCAAGCTCTCGGGTTCCATGGGTCAGCTGCCCAAGCACCACATAGGCACAGCACAGAGCTCCCCATGCAAAGGAAGGCAGACTGGCCCCACAAACCTGGCTTGGGTCTTTCCTGATGAATGGCAGGACATGGCCTCTAGACCTTATGATCCCTTCTCACTTCCAGGGGAAATCAGAGCTTCTGAAAACTCCTACTTCTGCCAAGCTGCCCGGCAGCTGGCCTCTGTGCCATCTTCTCAGCTCTGTGTCAAGTTAGCCAGTGGCGGTGACCCCACGTATGCCTTCAATATCCGCTTCACTGGGGAGGAGGTTCATGGCACCAGTAAGTGGCTCTTGGGCTGGGTGCAAATGCACAGACCGTGGGCTGGAAGTGGGAGTGTGAGGCGCAATGTGATGACACCCCGCTGCCAAGAAGAGATACCACAGTCAGGTCTGCAGCACAGTCCTGTCACCCCAGTCCTTAGCGGATTGAAGCAGGAACATTGTAAAGTGAAGACCAGCTAGTCTGGTGTTACAGAATTAAATTCAAAGCCAACCTGGGAAATTTAGTGAAATCTTGTCTCCAAATGTAAACAATAGAGACAGGGAAGGCTGGGAGTAGAGAGGCTCGGGTGGAAAGAGCTGGCCATGTAGGGAGCGAGAAGTATAGATGGGGCACAGAGGGGCTGGAGGTATACAAGGCTGGGGCATAAAGTGATGGAGGTGGAGAGGAAGAGGGTATAGAAGCTGGGGGAGCACGGTTCTTGGGATAGAGGGGTGGGGTACAGAGGCTGGGGGACGGAGAGCTGGAGGTGGAGAGCAGTGGGGGTGCAGCTCGTTGGAAGCCCTTTTGTGAGGTCTCAGGCTCAATCCTCAATACAAAAGGATAAGGTAAATGTCCTCAGTGTCCCGGGCTAGCCTCCTCTGACTCGGCCTGTCACCAGCCAGCATTCCAGGTGTGGGGAGCCACACCCTCTTAAAGGCATACTTGTCCTAGTCTTACCTATGACATTGAATAGCCACCCACAAGCCTTTCCCAGCGAGAGGCTCAGCTGCTTGAGCCCAAAGCTGGAGTTGCCCATGAGACAGAGACGTTGGGGTCCTTCCATTAGAATGGCTCCTGGCATCACGACACCCATTGGCAACGAGGAAGAACAGCTGAGATATCCCTTGGCCCTGCCGATCACTTTGGTCCCAGCCATTCAGGATTTTTTTCCTATTGTAACTGGGTGAAGAATGTCCTCTGTGCCCCCATTCCCCTCTGTTGTGCTCCCTGGGCATTCAAGCAGCCTCAGTCTGGAACCCTGTAAACAGAGCCCTGCTGCTATGAGAAGCTGTATCCCCAGGTGCCAGGCCTGCTGCAGGCTCCATGCTCGCTGAAGACCAGTTCTTACCACCGCACAGAGGGGAACTGGGACGCTGGGAAGCTCAGCCACCTCCCATAGTCAGCCAGGCAGGGCCAGCTCCATGCTGAGGCCCTGCTGGCTCCAGGCTCCAGCCTGAACCAGATCCTGCC